TACTTAGCAGCTGAAAGCTCATCTGGACCTGTACTTTGAAATATAGCATGAAAGTCTACATAAAAGCAGAATTATTTTAACTTTTCCGCCTCTTGTTTTGTGTGAAACCTACAATGAGTAGAATCTATCTCCAGAAATGCAGTATGTACTGTTAAATATTGGTTTTACAGTCAACAAGGCACATCATATTCTAATCAGTTTGCAATGCCAGTGAGTTCGAGTTTCTGAAATGACTACAAACAGCTAAGGAGTTGAAAGCAATTAGCTTATATTTTTGGTAAATAATAATGACTGAATTTAGAAGTAGGGATTCTTAAGAGCCATTTGGCCAGATACTGTAGTTGCAGCAGTTTCTCTGCAATAAAGAGCAGCTGCTCAAAAATCAGTTAAAAAACCAAACACGCAAAGAAACTGCAATCCAAGTTTCACAGAAGTTAGTTTTATTTCTATAACATAGTAATATAGAGTGCCACACATGTTAAAAATGTCTGACATCCCTCGCTGGCATCTTACACCCTATTAAAACAGGTGTTTCCACATGAAGAAAGGCATCACAGTCATATTTTGACTTTAGAATACTCCAGCCTCTCCCCTCACCACCAGAAAGCTTCTATAAGAAGAAATTACAGGTTAATAACACAGCCTGAGTCCCAGTGGGGAAGGAGGCAGGGGACAGGTGTAGAACCCCGTCTCCCTGCACCACCAACAGATGAGCTCGCTTACACACAGCTTACACACAGCAAGTGCCTAACTAAAGTCAGTAACGCCAATTAACAGGCCCTGTAATAAAGTCCAAAGTCCACAAAAAGACTCAGTGGAAAGGGGTATCTGATATAACACAAAATATTCAACAGAACATTTGGACTGCGTTCAAAGAAACCAAATCCTCAGACTTTTAACTCAAATATTTAATTTCAATGACTTGTATGATAGGGAAGACCGTGTCAGAAGGACAGTTTCATTTCCTTGCTACTTTTCAGCAACAGCTTCAGCAGCACATTTACAGAGTCCTACAAGCAGGAAAAACTGTTTCAGGTGACTAGTCACCTTAAAAAACTCTGCCTCAGGTAGTTAATTCCCTTAAAATACTCTGCTCCACGACTGTCAAAATAACAAGCACTGACCACTGGGAGAAAAATGAAGACATAATAACCTTTTAAACAGTTTTTCCATCATATTTCAGTAGTTAACACTAAAACAGAAGTATTATTTGTTTATATGAAAGAAGATTTCCCTGGACTCAAACAGTTAATTCAGTTGTCCATGTAGACCTGTTCACTGGGCCTGGAATTTTAACTCGGGCTACATTCCACAAATCCCAAATTGCAAATTTAAATTAATGCTAGAGTGAAAACATGATACCTAGTGAAAAAGAAAGGCAAGGGGGCAAGGGACGACAGGCACAAAAAGGAATGTTGTATCCCAAGCGTCACTAACACCTGACATCCTGCCAGTAGTTAACACCTTGGAGCTGACAGAAATACACCATGCTTTTGCCTTGTTCAAAGGCACTTACAATCTCCTTACAGTCCTTAGCTTTGTAACAAAACTTTATATGAAATTGTTATCTAATAGAAACGAAAAGAAAGGAGATCCAACTGTAAAGCAACTGAAATAGCACTCTAACAAGTCAATCTACATAACCTTTTAATAATGATCTCACTGTTACCAGGGGGTAAAAAAAAAAAAAAGGAAATTAAAAAAGCTAGCTCATACCGTCTCCTCTCATATACCTGACATACCTGACAGCATGTAGAATTTACTCAGATTAATACAGTCTTCATTTTGCATCTGAAAACCTGAATGCATACTGATTATTTTCAGAACACCTATATAGAAGGTTGTTATCTTTTTAACTCTCTGGTAAGGAAAGTTTAAATATTGTGCTTGTTTTATTTGTCTCACAGTATTGCTGAAGAAGGGGATGTTTTGCTGTTTAACAGGAGCTAAGACAATCCTATAATGTATGAGAGAATCTAAGAAAGCAACTAATCCTCACTCTGCAAACCAACTAAGAATGAGAAAACTTTTGCTGAATCTATTTGAAACCTACAAAGAAGTCACATAGTATGCATATGCAGATGACTAGCTAAAAAAAAAAAAAAAGGCAATCAAACATTCTTTTCTCCTCTTCATTTCTCTATCAAAAGAGGGGGAGAAGGGGAAGAAGCAAATAGGAAGAGAGAATCCCAACCAGCACTACGTTTTTGCTTTATCATATGATGTCAACACTTTGTTAACTCCTTGGCTGTAGCAGATGTTTTTGTGTATTGGCCAGAACTAAGGACAATGACACAGGATAGCTTTGTTCAGGTAGGAAGTGCCAGATTTCCTGGTAAGTGGAGGTTTTAATGGCAGGGCAAATCGTTCCTTTTGCTGATCTCCTGTAGGGGCCAATAAACAAGGTAGAAAAGGAACCAGCTCTAGAGGTAAGAAGATAAGACTGTCTTTCCAGCTAGAGTTAATGCACCAGGATGGCTCCCAAACAGAGAGAAAGCCAGGGGGAGGGGAAAGCAAAAAATAAAATAAAATAAAAAACAACCAAACCTCCACAACAAAAGTTTACAGTACAAGAATAGTTGTGTTAAGTTTAACACTAGATAAACAGAAGAAAAGTTTACAGTATAATGACTCGATGCCATAGCCCAGTATTATTAACTAGCATACTGGAAGTCAAGTGCAATCTCTTTAATAATCACATATTCTGTGGGAAAGTCAGGGGGGAACAGTATAATTTTGTGCTTTTACTTTTTATACTACAGACAAGCCCATTGCTGATGCATTTCCACTCTGCTCATTTCTCATTAACAGAAGATACTCACCTGTAAGAACCAAGTGCATTTAGGAAAAAAAAAAATAAGACCTCACACTTATTTATTTAAAAGGTTAAAGGGTTAACATTTTTCTAGTCTTTTTCTTTAATAAATATTTGCAAGTCAAAAATAAACCCACTGATGAGAAATCTCTATTAACCAGAAGCTATTATCTAACTGATCCTGATGCTTCAATGCACAATGACTTAAGTTGGTTTTAATTCCTAAAAAAAAAAAAAAAAAAGGAACCAAAACCAGCCTAAAGCAAGACACACTGCATTCTACAGAACTAGCTGATAAGGATTCAGAGGCTTTTTAAAATAAAGCAAGTGCAGAAACGAGGTCCGAAAGTGATGAAGATGAAAGATACCTGGAATGATACCGCATGTGATACACCTTTTGTTTTCTGTGAGTGATACATGCTGCAGACAAAACATTTTATGCTAAACAGCCTTAAATCTGGTTTTCTAATACTAAGCACAAAGGAAAAACACTGACAGCAAGCATGGTAAATAAATCCCTCCCTAGAGAACGAAAGCAGCAGACAGGAGGGGGCTGACATGCATGCAGGAGAAAACTAAACACCATCTTTTTTTTCTACCTGCACAAGTTGCCATTTGCTGCAGCGATCAAGAATCCCTTTTCCCCGTCGATTTCAAAAGCTAGGTTTTCAGAAAATTTCTCTCTCAAGTCATCTGTTGATATGCTCTGAGAGTATTACATTCATATCGCTGGATCTTTAAGAGAAAAATCCATTTTCTTTCCTGTTCAGGTAAACATGTTTACAGCTCCTGCACAGACGCTGGGTGGTTCAGACTCACATGTCACACACATGTCGTCAGCAACAAGAAAAGCCCCTTTTTCTGATCATCCACATTTTTAATAAGGTAAAGAGAAAAGCACTTTCCAAACTTACCTTTAGCACAGCCAAATTATGAGCCAAATATAAATATTTACACAAGGACAAGGAATTAATAACATGAGCGTGCAAACAAAAATACTTGCTAGAAAATGCACACAGAAAAAATAAGAAAATCCTTTTAAGTTCAACGCAATCAAACCAACCCGTTAGCCCCTGGAAAGGCCGTCATTTATCACCGTTACGCCCCGAACAGTCAGGATTAGAGAGGTGAAGCACCGATCGTGACTCTGATCTATTTCAGAGACCATTCACTGCGTATGAAAACATCTCAGATCGCAGGCAAAGCCTTCCTATCTGTGACCCTGCACAGGAAATGCCACATGAAACCCAAAATTGCCAAGGAGGGTTACAAAATCTCCTGCTTTACATCCTACTGCGAAGAGTCGCGCTACGAGGACCGAACTACTTCTCCATTTTCCAGAAAATAAGTAGAGTGGATGTTACGAGCGTTTATTCCCCCCGCCGTGTACGTTCCCAATGCATCTTAAAGTAACACACGTACCAAAGAGGGGGGGGAAACACCACCCCACAGCAGCCCTTAAGTCTGAAATGTAAATGTAATTCCTTATATAGACTGCAGCAGCTGGTCACACACGCACGGAGAGCAGAGAGCGGGGGCCCCCGGCCAAACCGTTACCACCCATTATTATACAAACAGGTACCTCCGAAGACAAGAGGGGAAGAAACTTCGCCGCCCGGGCGCAGCCCTCCCTCCCTGCCTGCCTGCCTGCCTTGCCCACGGCCCCGGCGGGGCGGCCGCGGGGCGCTGCGGGGACCAACTCTCGGCGGGGCGGGGAGGCGGGAGCGGGCGGGGGGGGCGCCGGCCCGGGGCGGCCGCGCTGCCCCCGCGCGAATCGCTGCCCGGGGCGGCGGCGGAGCCTTGCCCGTGTGTGTGTGTGTGTGCTCCCTGCCGGGGGTGCCCCCGGCGTGCCCCCACCGCCGCCCCGCAGCGAGGAGCCGGCCCGCTGCCCCGGCGAGGGGGCACTCCGGCGGGCGGCACGGGCGCTGCCGGGCGGGCAGCGGGGCGATCCCCGCCCGCGGGGCCGGGGGGAGGCGCGGGGGAGGCCCCGCTCCGCCGGGGCAGCGCGCAGGTAACAAGTTTCGGAGTTGGGGCTGGCGCGGCCGGGCGGGCGGAGGGCGCTCCCCCGGCGCTCCCCGCGGGGCTCCCCGTCCCCGCCCGGGCCGGAGGGCGGCGGCGCGGCCGGGGGGCCCCGATCCCGCTGCCGGCGGCGGGGCGGCCGCGGGGCGTGCGGGGGAAGCGGCGTGTAACGGTCCCGGACAGCGGCGGAGTGCGGAGGCACCGCTAGGCGGAGGAGGGAGGCGGCGGCGAGGGAGGCTCCAGGTAGCGGATATAACGGTGCGGAGGGAGCCGCGCTCCCGGCGGAGCCGCGGCGGGGGGAATTACTTTGGCGCCCGCCCGCCCGACCTCCCCCCTGCGCGCTCGGGACGGCCGTGCCCGGCCCCGCGCCCCGGCCCCGCCGCCGCCCCGGCGCTGCCCCGCGAGTGACTGACCGTTGTTGCGGCGCGGGTTCGGCTGCTTCCTGCGCTTACACCTGGGGCCATCCGCCATGATCCGCTCGCTGGTGTCTAAATGCTCCAGTCACCTCCTCCCCGCCCGCCCCCTCCCTCCCTCCCTCCCCTCCCCCCCGGACCTGGTTTACGACACTGGGTGGTTTTACTTTTACATCACCTTCCTACACCTAGTGCTCGCCCGGAACCTTGTTGCCAGGGGAGACCGGGCGCTTTACGGCAGCGCGTTTGAACGGCGGCGGGCGAAAAAGTTGCGCCCGCAGGTACCGGGGGCGGCGGCACCGCCGGGGCGGGCCCGGCACACCGACCCCCGGCCGGGCAGCGGGGCGGGGGCGCCCCGGCGGGTGTCGGAGGGCGCCAGCCCGCGGAGGGGGGTCCCCGCGGGGGAGCATCGCCCGCCCTGGAAGCGCCCACAGGTGCGACCCCCGCAGCGCCCCCAGGTGCGGCGGGGCCGGGCCGGGCCGGGTGGGGCTGTGCCCGTCACCTGGCGGGGCCGGTTCGGCCGTGACGGGTGTCCTGCCTTACAGCTCCAACGGAGAGACAAACAGCTGGATGATGGTGACGCTGTTCCCGCTGAACCTGCCGTTCCTGCGCTTTCCTGAGTCATACTTCCCGCTTTCGCGAAGAGGAGAAGAGGTATAAATATATACCACTAAAAAAAAAAAAAAATAATAAAGGCAAAGGGAAAGGAGCAATTTTTTCACGAATAATTAATGGAAGACGTCCTTTGGGCTTAATAAACTTATTTAATGTATTAAAAATTAAAGCATTACTACCAAATGCTTGTTTTATTTATTTCCTCTTGCTTTTTGCTTCGGGCAATAAAACAATTTAGTAAGTTTGTTTCTAGACTTCCTTATTTCTCTTTTTTTTTTTTCCTCCTTATCCTAAGATGATTCTGTAGAAATTGTAATTCTGTGCTTCTGAGGAATTCTTTTATCTAAACAGATGAAATTTCAGTGAAAGTGTTTCTGTTAATTGGGATACTTTCAATAAGAGATTGAAACACTGCAGAACTTGAAGTCTTTAGCTATTCTACATCATTTCCACATGCTGTATGTTCACATTCTGTAACATACCACCTCATTTCATGGAAGTGGCATAGCATGTCTCTAGAAGAGGAACTATTGAACACTGCCAGTTTGTGGGCATACCTTGCATCCCCCTAAAAGCCGGTACAATCAGAAGTGCTTAGAAAGGAAGTATTGGGCTAAAATGGAGGCAGAATTAGGTAAAGATCCAAAGGGATATTTTCCAAATTAATTGTACCCACAAAAGTGTGCAAGAGTACTCTTGGTTGCTCACCTGAAAACAGTTTTGCAGGTAAAAATCATTTGTCTGGTATCTCTAAAAAAATTGGTAAATTTAGGTGTGTTGTTTTTACATATGTATCTTTACTCATATTGGTTGGCTGCTGGCCTCAACATTTTAATAAGGATCTACCTAAGAGTCATTAAAGAAGGTTAACAAATCAAACAATACCAGGTGCTCAATGGACTAATAGAAGCCATTTAACAGCATTAGGAACCCCAAATACAAGGATAGCTAAGAACTGCGACATGAAACCAACTACAAGATAAAAGTGAAACTTGTCAGCAAAATTTTGAGTCAGTGGATTGCGAGGTTTAAGGCAGAATTTTGTTTACTTCAACCTCCTTGCTTGTCAAGTTTTTGTGCAGAAGATACCTGTCACTGTGAAACTGTTATCATTCAGTGGTTGAATTTAAGCAAAATATCATGTACAGGTTTTCATGCTAAGTTTTTGATTCCCTAAAATTAGTCATGATTTTAGAAGGTAGTTGCAAGTAAAAAATAATCAACAAATATGTTTGCAGATTTGTAACAATATTCCTCTGCATGCCCACACAAAATTCCAGGCCCTCTTTAAGCAACATTGAAGAGCTTATTTGCTTTGAGTTTTGTCACTTTTCACCTCTGGATAAGAATTCTTGTCTCTTCATTTTGAGCAATTTCCTAACAGAATGAGGACAAAAACAGTCTCCCGGTGTTTGTTGTGCTGTTTTTCCAATAGCCATAATGTCTGTTTGAGCTCTAGTCTCTTGAAAATTCAAGGCAGGTGGAGAAACTGGTGACAACTCCTGCTGGCCGTTAGTTTCTAAAGAGCAGAACTGAAACTGGCAGGAGCACTGGGAGCTCTACACTGGTATGGTTTGATAGATGAGAAGAGAAAACCAGAGTAATCTTTGTGTATGTTATCTTTCATACCAAGGAGGTCTAGAAACCAAAAAAAACAGAGGATAGTATTTTGCATCAAGTTATTGATGACCCTAAACCTATTTATTGTGAAAGGTGTCTCATTCACAACTTGTAAATACAGGTACAGATGGGTTGGTTTTTTGGGTTTTAGTTTTTAAACTTTGATATGTGTAATCCAAGCAACTGGGTACTTCACATCTTAGCATACAAAGTTCTCATGATTTGCTGTGCTAAATTAAGGATGCAGCCACTGACAAACAATTTTGACCTAATACTTTCTTCTAATCCTGGATGCTAACACACTAGTTAAAATTCCTACTATTTTTGTCATGTTCTACAGTGTATGAGCACATTGTATATGTAGTTTAAAGTCTTTTGTGCTGAAGAAATGGAAAATCCTATTTTTCTTTATGGTACGCAGCTTTCAATCTGACTTTTCAGTCAAGGATGCAGACATTAATTAATGTATTCTTTGGAAAATCTCAGCAAAGCAGTATATTTCTTCATCCTCCTAAATGTGGCAATCTTGAGAAGATGTCTCTTTAAAGGAGGAGTTCTGAGGCAGTGGTCATCCAGTAATAATTAGATGGTTTCTAGTAATTTGTATGAGAATTTAGGCAACATAAATATTGTAGTTGAAACCTGAGACTGCATAGCTACTGTACTTCACCCTTTTTGAAATTTATTTCCATTGTCTGAAGACAGGAATTAAAATACTTCCATAGTTACACTGTTGTAAGGATGTTCTAAAACTATCCGATAATTCTTATAGACAGCTCTTCCTGTTTTAAAAATGCTCATGTATGTTGTGTTATGATTTATGATCTCTTAAGTATGTATCATTAAATAAAAGCAATCAGTCCCCTGTTTGTATGCCTACTCCTCATTCATGTTCATGAAATGCAGTTTCACATCCTATCTTGAGTATTGTAGATTTAATGGTGTTCATTTAGTTTAATGAATTTAGAATTACAGTAGAAAATGACTCAGTATATTGTTTCTGGTTTCATTTCTGGTTTGTGGAGATTCTTTTTTTCTTACTTTTTTTTTCCCTGTGATTTCCATTAGTGAAACTTTATTTTCAATTCTATGTATTTCTGGGGATGTCAGTTCCTAAAATTTATTTTTCAATTGATGATTTTTTATTTTATTTTTTTTTAAATAGGCTTTTACTCCTCTATAGAAATTGTAGTTGGAAGATTTACCAGGAGAACAATGATGCAGAAATATGCAACTTGACTGCAGCTAGCTGAGGAGCTAATCTTGAATAAAATGTTGATTTTAGAGATATCAATATACAGGTTTAGTGCCCTTTCAGATGGTTTTCCAGTTTCTGTTTATGCTTCCAAATTAATCTAATCAATTTTGAAGGTGTACCCTGGGATGTTGTACAGTCTCAAAAAATGGTAAAGGTGCTTGAAATTTGCACATTCACTTAGAGCACAGTTTGTAAATATTTATCAAGAGAAATTACCTTTTTTCACTTTCCTCATCTTATAATCTTGGTTTCTGTTTCTGTACTTTACTGTGAATTTATTTGTTAATTTAAAGCTTGAGGCTATGATCTCTAATAAATTGCCATGTCTCGCACAACCTGAGAAGACTGTACCTGCCTGAAAGATGTAAGTGTAAGGATGTAAACTGCCATAAGGCATCAGTATGTACATAGCTATAGATAGCTACAGTGACTTGCATATATGCAATTGACTTTTCTAACACCTTCCTTGTTAAGAAAAAGTGTTTGTGAAGGTCACAAAGGCCTTCAAATCCATTTTGTTTCTCTTGCTCTCTTTTTGCCCTACTTGTTGCATACTGCTTTTCTCTTGAAAGCAATTAACCTGTGTTGATACCTGTGTCAGGTTGGTGTGCTGTATAAAATAAATGTACTAAAACATAACAAGGACCTACGGTTCCATTCTTATGCTAATTTTAACTTTCAGTGTGATCTCTGTTTCAGAACCTTCACACAAGCAAAAAATTATTTGAGAAAAGAAAAAAACTTGAAAAGGTCATTTCACATTCTTCATCCAAAAGACAAATCTTGCATATTCAAAATGGAATTGGAATGCAAATTTGGGTATAAGTGGTGGATAGTGAACAGTTGTGATTTTTTGTTTGTTTGTTTGTTTTTAAAATACCTGAAACTTTAGCTGAGAATGTCTACTGTAATACTTTATTTTCTGCCACTAGATGCAGTAGCAAAATGCTGTATCAAAATACTATTTTTTGTTTTAAATTTCATCTGAATTTGTGACTGATCAAATTACCCTAGTAGTGAAGTAAGATTACCCAGCTTTATTAGTAGCACGTTTTCCATTTATCTTTGTTTATGATGACTCTGCATAAGTGTTCTTATCCTTTATATTATCTAATTAAACACTAATGGATTGTGAATACTTTCCCATAGGGTTGATGTTTGTTTCCTTCTGTAACTTCCACTCTATTTCTGATTTGGTTCTGCTCACCAGCCCTCTTGCTGTTCGCTGTCTCACAGTTTTGTGCAATTGCTCATTTGGCTCTCATTTGGGGTTGTTCCCTTTGTTATGATATCTGTACAGCTGGCTCACTCAGCTCTTTAAATCCCAACTTAAAATTGATTTCTTAATTATGTCTTTGTATATTCTTCTCATTTATATTTGGGGGTTTTAGTTGTTGAAACACACTCTAATGTTAGGCATTATTCATTTGTTATTTCTTATTTGTCTTGGTTTTTTCTCACTGTAAAGTACATAATGCATCTCTAGGGAATGTTTGTTAATACATGAAAGGAAAGCTGTTGTGTTGGAGCTTGCAGTGTGTTTTCTGAACATACAGAATTAACATAAAGTAAACAAGAAAAAAAAAGAGTATGAAAGTCTATCAAAACAAACAAATAAATACAATTAAGGCTCTCATTTCCTTAAGAGACCTCAACAAAACATCAGTCAATGCCATAAAGAGAAACACAGATATTGTAATGTTTATTTTCTGGGATGTGAAGAGAAGCTTTGATGCACTCAGCATAGTTGGCATGGTCTCATTTGGTCTCAAATGGTCTCATCATTTGGCAAGGTCTGTCTGGTAGTTAGAAACATAGAGTGTTAAAATGCTCAATAGTATTTTTGAAACTCAGATGCATAGACCAAACTTGTTGGAACTAAAGAGCTGTATAAAATTCTAGTGTAATTATATCAGAGCTTAGTTTATTGGAGCAGGGAACAGCAGTTTGGTGCAAGAATGATCATGTGTTGATACAGAATAGGAAAGGGATTATGATTCTCATGTACGACTGTGCATATCAAGAATTTTTGGTTGCAATATCAAAAAGGAAAGCCTCGTTTGGATCCATCCAAACAATACAATTTTCTGTTTTCCCTTGTAGAAACAAAAGTCTAAAAAGATTTTGTGTGGATCAAATAGAAAATGTCTTTTTTTTTACCCAAGTATTCAAAGCCTGAATTAGAGCAATTGTTAAAATCAGAGCAGGTGGCCCAGGGGTTTCTATGAACTAAATGATTTCAAAATTTCCTTTATTAGGTTCCCTGTTCTTACTGGGGAGGTTTGAGCAGAGATGTCTGTGGTGGGCATACTTTAAATCCCTGGGTTTTAGCTTTTATGAAGAGCTTTCATTTTCTCTTATTGATGCTGACTAGGTACTGTAAGAAGGACCAGAGCTCCTGTGTCATCTGAAGGACTTTAAAATACTCTCTACACCACTTAAATAAATGTTCTGGCCATTATGTTATAGTCTTTCTTTAGTTCCACGGTTATTTTAAGTATTTTATAGAAACCAAAAACATTCGTTAGCACAGATGAAGACCAGCTGAATTGTCTTTAGGAAGGTGAATTTAGATTGTTTCTGAGTGATGATGGTTCAGACTTTTATTAGGAGGGGGTACATTTTTATCGTGTACCTGTACATGATAAAAACCTTGGGGTTTATTGTCCTGGGGGAACTTGGTGACTACTGGGATTTCATATTAAAGATGGATTACACCCAGCATTTCATGCATACAGGGCATGTTCTGAATAATCCAAATTGGTTGCTGAAGAGTAGTCAGGTAGAGAAAAGCCATGCCTCAAGATCTGCAGGTGGTCAGGTAGAGTGAAGAGTTAGGCAGATTAGGAATGACCAGAAGCAGATCTTCACATGCCCAGAGAATTTAACTGAAAAATTCTGAGTGACTGGAATTAGAGAGAAGCTGAAAACAGAAAATGAGAGCTTTGTTTGAATTTAGATGTTTGCAGGATCTTGATTGACCGCTGTTTTGCAAATGCAAAAAGCTATCTTGAGTAATACAATTAAAATTTGATGTATTTTAGATTTTATTTAAAGGATTCATTACCTATTTCAGCAGCTGTTGGTAGACATTCAGTGAAGCAGTTGAGTTCTTGTAGGCAATGACTTCTTCATGTTTAGCAATTTTGGTAGGTGATCATATGTGGGACTTACCTGCCTCACGTGGTTTTACTTCTGGGCTAGTCCCTCCAGACTGCCTTTGCAGTTAGTGGGGATCTGGTTGATGGAACCTGGGACACCACACAGGCACGTAAGTAAAGTGAGATGAATTCCAGCCCATCTCTTACTCCTGACAGCAGTCCAATCAGTGAGGTATGTTCCTGTCATGAGGTTGTTGGGGTTTATAGAGATGACTTCATCCCTCTTCTCTGATTTTTACTTTCAGTTTTGTAGGGTGAAAAGTCCTAGAATTTGTTGCCTCACCTGCAACTGATGTCTTTTTTGCCAAATATATTTAGACACTGATTCATGACAAGACCATACCAGCTCTGTGGATTTTCACATAATTTATCATATATCCCACAACATCAAAGGCAACAAAAGCATTTGTTATGGCATGAAAAAGAAGTTGTTTTTTTTTCCTTAAATATTTGAAATCCAGACAAATATTTATAAAACGTCTGGGCAGTCTTAACATAGAGAGGATAACTATGAAAGCCTGTTCTGCAGAGATGTATAATTCTAAAGCTCAAAGTTTGTTCCTGCAGCCAGATGTACTTGCATTTGCATTCATCATTGTAGCATCTTGCAGAGAAGGCCAGAAGAAATTTGCTTAATTGTTATTAATAATAGTACTTTGGTGCCCTGTCATTTATTCTAAATACAACTTAATAGGATTCATTGCTAATTTTTGTTGTGAGATTAATTTGCAATATGGAAAAGCTCCTCACTTCAATAGCATTCTTCACCATGAATCCAGGACTATACCTAACTTGCGTGCTTCACCTTAGACTGCTTTATCTTTAGTTGCTGGTTGCTTCATAAGGACTGCTCTGCTCGTAAATAGTGTTTATAGGTTCTGTAATGTTTTTATCTTAACATTGTTGCTTGCTTAAATGTTTATTCCAGAAGGTCTGAAAAATTATGTTTTCAACTACTGGTAATTTCCCCTCTGAAAGGCACCTTATGCACAACTATTTTTCAGACTCTTTCTCAAGACATTTTAACTACAGCCTAGGCTTAAACTCAGTCAAATCACAGTCACATTTTCTATTGGACAGTAATGCACTACATTAGTTTTACAGCCTCTGTAACTGCATTTTAAGGACATACGCATTGCTTGGGTCTCCATTCTCCTCAGTGCATTTCCCGATGCATACTGGTATGAATCCTAAGCAAACTTTTTGGTGCTGTTTTCTCATCCTGTTTTTCCCCTGGAATAGTGATGGATAACCCTTTCTGTTGACTTGGGCAAGATCAAAATAAAAAAAAGCAAACAGACAGACCTGTCCATGATTATGACTACCTACTGTGAAATGCCAAACTCAGCAAACAGGCTGTTCTCCATACATAAAAGAAACAGTATCCAGCCAACCAGGAATCACCAAATATACCAGAGCAAAATCCCTGGCTAAACTGAATAGAAATATTTTATGTAAATTCATCTATTTGTTCTTTTTCTTGTTTGCTACTCGGTGCTGTCTCTCATGTCTTACTACACAAGAGCTCAGGGTGCCTTTCTTCATTAGTTTTTCTTACCTTTCAGAATATTAAAAAATATGCAAAACAATTGTAGACAACATTTATGGTGTATACCTGTTACTACATTGTATCTGTTTGTATACACACACAAATGCAGACAGCTATTTTTAAAGATTAGGAAGGT